AAGGAACCAAATAAGATAGGGATGGAAATGGACATATCACTTGATCGGCTTATGATCACATTACAGACTTAGCTGACTCGACTTTACATAGAGAATAAGATTCCTACATTACTGGCTTCCTCACTGACAAAACAAATAGAACCAGAATTCCCAATCGTAAAATGTCGCTCTGCTGTAAAATAGTCACAAAAGAGGTATTCTAAAGTTAACTAAATGAAAGGTATAATGACGAAAGCTGAGATTCTATTCAAACACCATGCTTTCGATAGACAAAGTGGGGTAGCCAGCCCTACACAGAATTTCTATTTAACGATACTTTTTTATAATACATGTATGTTTATTTTTCAAATCCAGAATAATGTGACTCATAACGATGGCTCAGCGGTAAGCTTGAGGCTTATAACGCTAAGATTCGGGGTTTGATCCGTAGGTAGATACAACATAGCATACTGTGCAAAATTTTGCTTAACAACAAACATTTAATAGTATCATTTTGAGTTTGGTCACATTTTGCTTTATTCTACCACCTAGCATGAATTATTTCCCGTGATTGGCCACAGTGCTCCACGTGGTAAGAAACATTTTAAGTATTGCTTTGAAAGCAGGGCAACAAATCACATCAATGTTGCCTAGTTCTCAAGGCCCTTGCCATTCATGCGTGACATCACAGTAGAACTTGAAAACGATAATTTTTTGTAGCAGTGTGAAAACACGCTGATTTATTAAGGCTTAACCTCAAACAATTTACTCTAACCCATAAATGAATGTGGCCATATTTTATGGCGCAATATTTCAGTTATTCACAGGTAAGAGCTACAGAACTTTAAAAGAGTACAAGTTTTTGTATCACAGTGAAAATACACTTATTCATTTCCAACGTTGTTTGTTTATTGATATGATCACATGATGATGGACTGTTATATTTTGAAAAATTAAACAATTTCTAACACTTACTAATTCTTAAAATGATATCAAAATCTTCAATGAAATATTAAACTTTAATATTTGCATGTAAGTCTGGGATATATGATAAATACGCTATGCGACAGCGTTAATTAATCAGATTTTAGTAAAACTGAAAACAGAAAAACAGCAGGGGTTGGTTGTGGTAGAATAATACAATTTTTGGCTGGTGATTTAGGTCAATGGATTATTTGTTGCCCTCATAACCAGTCAATAATTGTTCACTGTTTCAGTTTGTGGTAATAAGAAAAAAACATAACCATGCCAAAAAAAGATATATACTGGATCTATTTTAAAATCATAAAAAATAAGTATGGAAAATTTGATTTCTTACATCAAGAATTTTTAAATATGGGACTTTTTCTTCGTTCAAGCAATAAATCAAAGTATACACAAAATGGTTGATCGTTCAAAATAATCAATTAATTAAGATACCTTAGACAACTGAGCTCAGACTCTTATAATAATGGATTTCTTATGTATTACCGTTGACGTGTAACTGCATTCACCCCCCAACAGTAACTCCCTATTGCAAGTTATCTACATTTGTTTACTGTTTACACACTTGTTAAAATTTTGCTCAATATACTTCCCACCTTGAAAAAATTTCTTGTTTCAAACACTGCCCCTCTGCTGGACTTCGACTACACATCACTTAGCCCAAAATGCTTTTTGGCATAAGCTAACTCTACGATCATCGGCAAAATAATGACCTCCTATCGAAAATTAATTGCATAAGTTTTCTACCTAAAGAAACCTCTTGTTCTTAACTCACCTGTATGTTTTCTAGTCAAAATACTACCAGCTACTAAGCAAACGTAAGTTTCCTGACCAAGAGTATCATCGTGATACAATTTTAACCGTAAATTATTTGTAGTTTTAATACATTCCTGTTATAAGCTTAACTGTAATATTCCTAGCCATAAATATCTCGATCTCCTCCTGAATTTTTAACTGTATGTATCAGCCTGCAATGACCTCCAACCACACTTTAGCTGTACGTGTTAGCCAGCAAACCTTCAAATGCACTTTAACTGGATACATTGTCTTGCTAATATCTACTGTAAGTTAATGAACTCCATCTTAACTAAGTAACGGCAACTTCCTGCTGTACACCAACAGTAAAATAGCTAACTAAGAAAAACTACCACTCCAAATTTATTTGTTTTGTTTATGGAATGCTATCAAGGTTTTCTGCCGCCATCCCTAATTTTGAACTTCTGACCACAGGGAAGCCAACCGACGGCAGCACCAATCGCTTTGCCGACAAACAGTGGGAATTTCCGACACATTATAACGACTCCACTGGTGAAAAGGCGAGCATGTTCGGGCAAGGGTTCCGATCCCACTAGTCCGCAGCTTTCAAACCTAACTCCCTAACCATAAGGCTCTCTATTCCAAAGCTGACTAAACGTCTAACTTTATTTTAATATTTGTCAATTATTTCCTAGTACTAGTTAACTGTACCTTTCTCAGACATTTTTGAGAGATTTCAGCTGCATACTTCCTGATCTGCAGAGTAGGAACAGAGGACCTAGCATTTTTTAGGGGAGAACTAACATATCTTTCGGCCTCTCGATATTTCAAACAGAAGGAAAGAGGTCGATTGCATGGTGAACAATAATGCCTGATGTAGAGAAGGTCATGCCGCTAGCCGACCGTCAGTCTGCCAAGAAAGTTATAAGTAAGATATACGTTTCTACACATCAATTGTATCCCGTTGCAAAATAACTGAATGTTTGCTCTACACGTATAATCCCTCACTGCAAACTAACTATATGTTTCTTATCCGTCAGTGATTTCCTGTCTATTTTAATCGTAGGCTTAACAAAACGTTACTACTGTTGCAATATAACATTTGACTTCTTATACCCATCAACAATATCCTGTAACAAATTCATTCTAACTCACTATTCAACAATGTCTTCCTGTTTCAGCAAAGCGTTTCCCCAAACATTGGCTTCCGCTGTTTATTGTTAAAGAAATGAAGAACCCCCTATTAAAGTGAATAAATAGAATTATAAACACTCACTTCTTTGTAGTACCTGATGATGACAAGCAAACTTGTCGGAACGTTGTAATATGTCGTATTCTTGTTTTTCTTCTTCCCGTATAGTCGTTTTATAAGTTTAATTAGACTAAATGTCTCCTAGCAACAGGAACATCCTTCTAAAACTAGCTATACATCTCCTCTACATTAGCCAAATGTAGTTTCAAAAAAGTCATTCAGCCAACAGTTTTAATTAATAACAACAAGAAATATTTGTAATCTAATACACAACCATATTAATTTAATAGTAATACATTATATTTTATGGAAAATGTTATAGAGAAGTTGCGTAAGTGGCAAACAAATTATGAAAAATAAAATGCCCTCAAGAATCTTAGTTTTTCTTTACTAGAAACAAGAAGATACAAAACGGATCTTTAATTGTAATAACTATAATAAGTAGCATTTAGTACAATGAAAACTATATATTGACTATACATTTTAACATTTGACGATAATCCTCGAATTGAATGCTCTATACAGAGCCTGAAACACGCCGATCATTTTTAAACTTCAAAAATCAATTCCATCTCTACCGGTGTAGAATGTGTAGTTTGAAGTTCAAAGTACAATACAGAGTCAGTCAATGATCCAGAAACACCTTAACAACCGCTGATTAATCACAAACTGAGGATAATATCATACAAAAATCAAACATTATTTGAAATCCAAAATAAGGTATTTCTTTAATATGCAAAGTTACGAGTGTAACTGTCTTAAGCACTATTCATCTGGGGGCAGTCCACTCATGAAGTTGACCGGGTTTATTGTTACAGCCATAGCAGACAAAGAATGATCTTTTCGCCTACGTCATCAACTCAAAGGGAATGACGTAGATGTTTGGTACACATATACTTGACCTACTGTCACGACAAGCCAAATCTATATCCACAGCATGGCCAGCACTAAAACACAAGCTCAGAAACCTTAGATTTTATAATAATAATAATAACACATATAAAAAAACATCAGTACTCTTCCAACCGGAATCTTTTTTTGCATAACTTTTTAACATCCACTAAAATGGCAAAGAGCACACATTCTGGTTATAATCCTGTTTATCTCCCAGAATAGTCAACAGACAACGTAAACAGGTTAGCTGGAATACTGCGCATATACATGACATTCTATCATATTTTTCCTCCGTTTATTGTGATTTGATAGCTATAAGTTTTAACGAGTTTTCTGGACTATTCGGTACTTTAAGTATTTTTCAATAGCCAATGTGTGTTTTTTTGCTCATATGTGATTCGCTTAATCCTATCATTGCATGTAAATATGTACAGGTTAAAACAACAACACACGTTTCTCTTTCGCTTGTTGTTTTTTTTTTTCTTTTATTTTGTTTTTCTTTACTAAGGAAGCAACAAAATGTTATAAACTTCCAATATACATTACAAGTTTATAGGCCCAAATAAACACAATAAATTCAATCTACATGTTCAATGAGAAATTGGCATGACGTGGCAAAAAGCCTTAAAGTATGCAAGAATACATGCATACTCTGTGCACATGACTAGCATACGCAAATTGCGTATTAAAACCTGGAGAAGCGCAAGAATCATGTTCAATGAAATGATAATTCTTAAACTCTAGGCTTAGCAACTAACTTAAACCTAATTGCATATAGTTTGGATCTGAATTTATGCGAATTTTGTTTAAGTTTTTTTTGTGTTCAAGCCTTATTCATGCATAAACAAGCCATGAAAGAAAACACGTTTTCTTGTTACGTTTGTTTGTTTTTGAATTTCGCGCAAAGATACACGAGGGCTATCTGCGCTAACTGTTCCTAATTTAGCAGTGAAATACTAGATGGAAGGCAGCTAGTCATCACCACCCACCGCCAACTCTTGGGCTACTCTTTCACCAACGAATAGTGGGATTGACCGTCACTTTATAATGCTCTTCAGATTGCGAGTCACGCGCCCTAACCACCTGGCCATGCCGGGCCTTTCTTGTTAAGGTAAATCCACACAAACTAATATACCTTGCAGCATGCTTCTGTAAGCTGCATCGGTGACAGTGAAGATGTGGGGAGGCACTTCATGTCTCTTCTTTCCTTTGTACAGATCAATCACCTTCTCTGTGTAGATCGGAAGTTTCCTGTACGGATTGACCACCACACAGAACAGGCCAGAATACGTCTAGAAAAACAACAACAAAAAAAATATTACTTAAAGATTACACATTTCTTTGTTATCTATAGAGATGGTGAAATAACTTTGATAAAAGAAAACCCTTCATCTCCACATCACAGTTAAAACTTCTAGTATCAAATTAAGAACTACTTCTCACGTTATCACAAGTGACAGTCAAAATTTACTATCAGATAACACAATTTACCTGAAATGGTTCTATATTCGTAAATTCGTGTAAGTAGTAAAACCTAAACAAAAATATTCCGTGTTTTCCTACTGAAACTCATATATGCATATATCCGTAGCGTCGCGACAACTTTATGGTTGGTGAGCCTTAGGGGGATCGAACACAGATTTTTCGAAATGGAAATAAAAATTTTGCCGAATGAAAGATGCCTAAACAACGTCTAATTGCAACTAGAGAGCTTTTACATAAAAAATACAATAAAAAAACACTGAAAATCGGATTCACGATTTTGTGCATTGAGAAATTGTGATGTGTACCTCTGAATTTTTGCTGGGTTACGTTTAGAGTATCTTTAAAAGACCAAACTAAATTAAATATGCGAAAATTAATCTTAAAACCTATATTTCATGAAATCTAGCTCGGGTAGTCATCGAGATGTCTCTTCTTAGTTTGTACCTATATATATATATATATATATTTAAAGTATCAGTTGGGTAGATAGTGACGGTGGTGTCCTGTTCGCAAACCATAATCCACAAGTAAACTGTATCTTTCAATCAGAGTTGATCATTAGAGTATCCTATTGAAGATTCTTTTACCTTCAGCTGAAGTGACTGTGAGATTAGATACCTGCTGATGCCTTTACTGGCGAAACAATGGTCGTAATAAATGATGTATTTGTGAAACGTACAGTTGTCTTGTTTTTCCTCAATTCTGTAATTATGGAGTTTCACCAAGTACCGACGGTTTCAAGTATCAATTATAGAAAACACATCAGGTAGCTTCTCGTCCATAGAACATTCCTGAGCTGACTATTTCTATTTTTTCCACAAACCTTTTATATATATATATATATATACTGAAACCAGATCGATACTTTTATTCCATGACTTCGAACTTATATCTACGTCCATCAAAAGACTATAACTTTGTATCAATTGTCAATAAAATTATTCATACACGGTTGACCTGTCAAGAGTAATAAATCCATGCACAGCAACACATACTGTATAGGCATGCTGTAAACAAACTGGGCAAGGCTGGTAAAGACAATAACCATATATACCGACACTGATTCCACAATGCACAGGTTTGTTCACGATTTATGATAACAACTTACAAATCCAATCACCTTGTCCTTGGTAATTCCTGTGACTACCTAGTTAAATTCCCTGACCCTCTTGTTAAATTTCAGTAGACATGAAGTGATTCCTAAGTGCAGATGAAACCTAAAATTGTACCCTTTTGGAAGAGTTACATTAAAGGACATTATGACGTGAAGTTCTCTATTTCGTGATTCTAAAATCATACAAAGTAAGAATTTTGAATGCATCAAAGAAAAGGATCTCTACAGTGTAAAACATACCAGTAAAACAAACGTAGGCGTGAATCCAGCAGTTTTAAAACAGACTACTGCACAACCTGCTTCCAGTCGTACACCGGAAGTAGTGTAGAAGTTTAAAAAAACGTGTCACCAGAAGCAATCCAAGAACAAAGGGGTCCTCTGCTGCTAAAATAAGACCCTCCCTAGGAAGTGTAAAAATAATTATTCACACGAACTTAGGTTTACGAAAGCGATACCAAAGTCGTGTTCATAAGGTTCACCCAAAGCATATAGCTTAAAGGTAGACCAACTGTTGAAAGCCCTATAAGTGATATCTGGCACATGACAAATCGAATTATGTCGTCAAATTACATAAAGTATATGTCTACTTAAGTATTTGTAAAAGTCCAGGAAATTTATTATCGTCCTGTCGGTGATACAACATCCAAAAAAAAATTGTAATGAACGTGTCGCAATTTTTTCAAGGGATTTACGGTGCAGGTTACAGCTATAATGGTAAGATACACATCCAGAGAATAGAGAAAGTGCCAAAGTGAACTCTGTAAGCTATCTGGTTAATGTTCTGACACTTCTATATGGTGCCATTTTTATACGGACTGAATGTCAATAAGGTATAGTTTTATCAAAATAAGGTATCCAGTCACACATCCAAGTCAACAAGCCAGTTGCTCCACACGATAAAAGTATACACAAGAATTTATAGTAAACCATTCAAATAAATCTCCCATGGACTTCCATGTCTTTGGGCTTCTCAAATACGCCGTCGGAGATCGAACTTAGGCTTTATTCGTGTTATTATTTTGGTATGTTATTTCCGGTTGCACGAGAATCATTTGTAGTCAAAATCGTGTACAAAACGGACCAGAAATTAGAAATATCTAGAATTTTGAAATTTTTAACAATAAAAATCCTCCCATTGGTAAAAATGAAGTATATGAATAAATTTATGATTATCAAGGACGAACCAGAACCACTCTAACAGTACGGAATAGCAAACAAATATGGAGTACTCATCAGTTAAAATTTCAAAATATTTTCATGTACCTCATGAATACGCCAGACCATTTCCCAATACAAAATATAGTTATTAACTAATTTATGTCAGGTTTTGTACATAATATTCATAAAATTTGTGATGTGCCATGAAAGCGAATGTTCTACATTCTTAAACAGTTAGACCTAAGAATGAGGCTCGTGAACCCTTAAATAATGGCAGACACGAAACCTGGTCGTGACGTTTCATATAACATACATTACACAACCAACTTCACGATTTCAAGGAAGGAGGGGGGAATATTTTCTTGTTCAGTTAAGGCCCTTGAGATACTCAAACGAAAGGAGAAGGGTGGGTTTATAACATAATTAATTGAAATTCCAAAATAACGAGCACTGTTTTTCAAAGTAGATAGTATTTCATGGTTCAAATTACTCTGTCTTTACGTACCAGGTCCACAGTGGTTTCGAGAGACGATTTCAAAACTTTAGGAAAACAATTATATTTGACAAAATTTAAAATGTCTGGCGTGCTTTCATTTTTTAAATCTTATTTCTATTACAAAGTAACAATAAATAAAAAGTTTAATTTTTTCACTACTATAAAACTTATCATTGTGGAAAGACTATTCTATTTATATTACATACAATTTCTTCCAGAACTTAGTAATAAAGTTTCAGCACGTGCAACAGCCAACAAGACTAGAAGTTTCAGCACGTGCAATAGCCAACAAGAGCAGAAGTTTCAGCACGTGCAATAGCCAACAAGACCAAAAGTTCATATCACTGACATAAAATCTCCTAGAGTTTTCCAATGGGGATACCAAAATTCTTCTTGGGGGCAGGGGGAGGAGGATTTTTAAAAGTGTGAATAGGTATGTGCTACCACCTTTTTATACGTAGCGCTGAAACTGTTAGGACAGTGTTTTCCAAACTTTAAATAGCGGCACCTCCCTAGCTCACCAAAGTTTTTGTTGCGCCACCCTCCACATTGAAATAATTTTCACAAGTGATAACAACAAAATCAACATTTTCTTAGCCTGTTTGAAAAAAAAATAATGAAAAATGCTTGTAAGGATTGAGTAAGTGGTTATTGTCGTTTCCAACTCTTCTGTTTCTTCCGTTGTTATTTTTTATCTCTCCCGCCAAAAGTCCCACCCCCCAGAACGCGCGCCCCAAAGTTTGGAAAATACTGTATTAGAACAAGAAAGCAGCCACTGTTTTGTCTTCTTGAGTAAATTTAAATTTTATTCAGAAAATCCTAATACATATTACCACTTAAATGCTAACAAATATAAAAATGCGTACATTGCGGCTATTGGTAAAATCTTATATCACGATCAAGCTATCGTGAAGTTTATGTGTAATCAATAATCAACTGTGATTTTAGAAATTACTTATAATAAGAAATTTATATTATGTTAAATCTGAAAATTTAATTAGTGCTTTGTTTGTTTGTAATTAAGCACAGAGCTACACAATGGGCTATCCGTGCTCTGCCCACCACGGGTAACGAAACCCGGATTCTAGCATTGTAAGTCCGCTGTGCTACTGGGGGCTAGTGCTTTAGTAAACAGGCCTATGATGTTTTTACTTTCTATATCTATATAAATAATACTTGCATTCATAATACGCATTCAGAATCACTTTACCTGTTTATTTCTTAGTCAAAAACTGTCGTGGTCATCACGTGACGACTGGCTTCAATTTCAACTTTAGTTTTTTATTTGCAAAGTATTTTACACAAACAACATTTAACCCTCGTATAATTTTCAAAAATAAATTAACATTATAATAAATACACTTTTTATGGGCTTTTTGGACTTACTTAGGTCTAAATACGCATGCGCAATTCGCTCAAAAGCATATGCTTCTCACTTTGTGAACACGCATTCAGACGTTTCTGCATATTCAGCTAAGTTTACCTTCATTACAACTTGACAATTACTTTACTTTGTAACAGTTTAGTTTCTGTTCGTTTTATAGACTACTATAAGCACCTTTTAGCTATTTTATTTCTTTACTACGAGTTTATTTTTTGTTTCTGTGAGTTTCTTTGTTTCAACTGGTACAACCGTGTCATACACTGATGGCTCATAGCTGTTTCATACTTTGTACACCATTATAAATACCATTACTGTACTGTTTACTTTACGTGTAGTTTTAGTAAATAAAGTTACGTCTACGTGAGTTTGTTTGTCTGACCGCGTAAAAGTTTTTCAAAAGATCAGGATTTATAGATATAACACATAATGCCTGAGAGAAAGCGTAGCTTAAATGGCGTGCGTTAAAATTAAACTACTTTTATTGCTTTTTAATTAGAAAAGAGTAAGATTAAAATTTTGTGGCTCGATCAAATACTGTTGAATGAGAAGTTTTATTTCCAACGACCAGTTATGACTTTTAAAACAATGCTGGTGTTCAATAAAAGTTCATAAAAGTCTGGTCTTATTAGTGCTATTAGCCAGACTTCTTGGATTG